GGGTAGCCTCACCTCTCTGGGTCTCAGTTTCCTCACTCATAAAAGGGGCTTAATAAGACTTCTGCTGGCCAGGCATGATGGCTCATGCCTATAATCCCAGCACTTTGGGAGGCTGAGGTGGACAGATCACGAGGTCAGAAGTTCGAGACCAGCCTGGCCAACATGGTGAAACCCCGCCTCTACTAAAAATACAAAAATTAACCAGGTGTGGTGGCGCACACCTGTAGTCCCAGCTACTCAGGAAGCCGAGGCATAAGAATTGCTTGAACCTGGGAGGCAGAGGTTGCAGTGAGCTGACAACACGCCATTGCACTCCAGCCTGGGTGACAGAGCAAGACTACGTCTCAAAAAAAAAAAAAAAAAAAAGAGCTCTGCCTCAGTTGCATTGTTAGGAGAACGGTGACAATCCCTGTGAACACCCAGCACTCCACTAGCACACAGCAGGCACTCAGTGGCTGGCTCCAGGGGGCCTGTGGCTGCTGGCTTCTCTCACACCTCACCTGCTTCCGGGCAGCTTAGGAATTTCTCTCTGGCATCTCATGTCAATTTTGCATCACTTGCCTCACCCCACCTTCTGGTGTTTGTTCCCTTATCCTGAAGGAAATAGTCGCTGAGGCCCCCCGCCAAGAGGGCTGGGCAGCCAGAGTCTGAGTGGGTCAGACCTATCCTCCTGTATGGCGTACGGAATGCAGACAGGTGAGATGACAAGGCCCTGCCTTAGGAGCTGCCAGATGCCCTGGGCAATGGCATCCTTAGGTGAGGTTCTCTAGGCTAATGCCAGGGAAGGTGTTTCCTGTGCGGCCTTTGTTGAATGCCTCCGGAGACAGGCAGCTCACCACCTATCTGGCAGTGTGGCCACAGAAGCTGTAGAACAGAGTCACCCAGGCATCTTTGAGCCTTAACTGGTAGAAACACATGTGGGGCAGGTCCATAGGCGGTGGCCCTGAGTCAGAGGCACCTGGTTTTACTGGAGAAAACATGTACCTTGTAAGGAACTTCTGAAAATGTGGTGAGGTGTACAGAAAGAGCTCAGTCTCCAGAAAAAGCCCTGCAAATGATGGATGTGAGTTTTCACAGAACAGACCCCTGTTTCCTCTTTTTGCCGACAGCCCATTTAGCAATGCCAGGCTGTGCTGGTGACCCCACCCACCTCCTAACAAGGCAGCCACTGTCCCAGGGGACAGCCAATATAGGCTTTGATTTTCCAAGGTTACTGTCCTTGGGACCCTAATTTTGGAAAACCAGGAAAAAATATAAGGAGTCACTGCATGGAAAAGAAACCTACTCCAGAAAGCTGGCTGCTGCATTCAGGAAGCTGGAGAGGAAGGTCAAGGTGTTCAGGCCCAGGACGCCTCACCAGGGTCGGCTACAGAGTTTGCAGGGTCCAGGGCAAGGTGAAAATGTGGCGCCCTCGTTTGAAAATGCCTGAGAATTACAAGATGGTGATGGCGGGGAGCATTAAACAGAGCTTGGGACCTTTCTAAGCTCAGCGCCCCGTGTGGCGATATGTGTGGGTCCCAAACCCACAAAGCTGGCCCTCTCCCTCACGTGTGTTCATGCCACGTCCTGACGCCTGGGGAAGGACCAAAGACAGCTTCACCGAAGGAGTACAGCTCCTCGTCTTTGGCATTCATTTTTTATTTTTTATTTTTGGTGCCATCATTGATGTTCCATGCTAACTTTAGAACGTTTTGAGTCCTTACAAAAGAAAAACATTTTTCAATCACCTGTGACACCACACATTTTTTTTGAAGTCTGGAGTGCAGTGGCTTGATCTCGGCTCACTGCAACTTCCACTTCCCTGGTTCAAGCGATTCTCCTGCCTCAGCCTCCTGAGTAGCTGGGACTACAGTTGTACACCACCACACCTGGCTAATTTTTGTATTTTTAGTAAAGGAGGTTTCACCTTGTTGGCCAGGCTGGTCTCAAACTCCTGATATCAGGTGATCCACCCGCCTTGGCTTTCTACAGTGCTGGGATTACAGGCATAAGCCACCACGCCCAGCCTGTCAAAACATATTTTAAGCAAAATTAGCATCTTAGCATCTTATTAGGTGTATCATTTTATCTTCTGCTTGTTTCATTAATTTTTTTATCACAATATTTTCCTAAGTCAGAAGATACTGTCCTGCAAGTGGACTTTGATGACTATTTGGTATTCCACTGGACAGATGTCCTAACTAACCCCTAATTATCAGGCACTTGGGTTCTTCCCAGTTATTTCCAATTTTCCCCATTAAAGATAACACTTCCAAGGAACATTTGTCTGCATTTTCCTGATTACTTCCTGGGGGAGGGTGAAACCATGCTTTAGCAGTAGGGCTCCCAGTTAGGTCGTTAGGGGTGACATTTTGGCTCCAGCAGCCTCTTGGGGTGGTCTCTGAAAAACCGCCTTGCCCAAGTGCCTCAGCCCCCACACCTTGTGCGGTGACACCCCAGCCCCCACATCTGACTTTCATTTTAAGAGAAAAACCCAACTCTTCCCACAGCTGACTTGACTGGTAGCGAAGCCAAAGACTTGAAGCCGGTCTCTGTTTTTTGAGATGGAGTCTCGCTCTTGTTGCCCAGGCTGGAGTGCAATGGCGCGATCTTGGCTCACAGCAACCTCTGCCCCCCAGATTCAAGCGATTCTCCTGCCTCAGCCTCCTGAGTAGCTAGGATTACAGGCACGTGCCACCATGCCTGGCTAATTTTGTATTTTTAGTGGAGACAGGGTTTCTCCATGTTGGCCAGGCTGGTCTCGAACTCCCGACCTCAGGTGATCTGCCCGCGTCAGCCTGCCGAAGTGCTGGGATTACAGGCGTGAGCCACCTCTCCCAGCCTTGAAGCCAGTCTTGAAAACTAATGGCCCGCCCTGCACTGGCTGTGTTTATAGCCATCTGTGAGGTGCTACGTTCATCCCCCCATACAGACGAGGACTGGGGACCTCCGTGCCACCCTGATTGTGAGGAGGACGCACTAGTGACTATGAAGCAGAAAAGACCCTTTGTCCTGCCAAACTGTGGGCAGGATTCTGGGGGTCAGTGTGGCAGCTCGGGGGGCCGGACCGCTGAGCCTGTCAGGCCGGGGCTGGGAGGAGGATGCTAGCCTGGCGCCTGCTCACAAGGAGCACTCAACAAACGGCGGGGCGGCAGGAGGAGGAGGAGAGGGCGGGGCGGCAGGAGGAGGAGGAGAGGGCGGGGCGGCAGGAGGAGGTAGGCTCTGCGGGGCGTCTCCCAGCTGGCGAAGGCTCCTGAGGGCAGGGATCAGATCTGTGGCCCCCGTGCCAGCCCAGCGCAGGAGAGCAAGGTGTGTGAACACTTTGATGAGGTCTGTGCCCGCACCGTCCTTCCCCTTCACAGGCAGTTGGGCATGTTGGGGCCAGAGGGGAGGGCCTGTTAGTTTCCTGTGGCAGCTGTGTAACAACTTATGGCTGACTTAGTGGCTTAAGCAATGCACCTTTATTACCTTACAGTCAAGGGGAATCAGATGTCTGACATGGGGGTCCCAGGGCTAAAATCCAGGTATTGGCAGAGCTGGTTCCTCCTGGAAGTCCAGGGGAAAAATCCACACCTTGTCTTTTCTGGCCTCTGGCGGCACTTGCTCGCCTTGGCTTCTCGTCCCTTCTATCTTTAAAGCCAGCAGCATTGCCTCATTCTGTCTCTGACCATGGCTGGGAAGGAGTCTCCGTGTGATTGGATTGGGTGCACCTGGCTAACCCAGGCTGCCCTCCGGCTGCAGATCTTTCACTGAATCTCACCCGCAAAGTCCCTTTGGTCTGGTGAGGTAGCACCTTCCCAGGTTGCAGGGATTAGGGCTTGGACATCTTGGGGACATTATTCTGCCGAGCAAAGATGGTATCGGGGAGTCTGAGTATCTGAACTTCTCCAGGGGACTGAAGAAATGCCTCCTTCCCTCTTTCTCCCCTTCAGTAGCTGTGAGTCCAGAATAGCGGCCATCTACAAGGTCACACCTGGAAGGATCTGGGGAAACTGAGGCCACAGAGGCCTTGCCCAGGACCCCAGGCCAGGCCCTGTGTTGTCCTCCACAGATGCCCCTTCCACACCTGTGCTGTGCTGCCTCGGGGGTGGAAGCGTTTTAGCCTGGAAGGACACCAGCTTGAGGACTCTGCAGAGTTCTGGGCCTAGGAGAAAGGGAGGGATCGGGGGGAATGTCATCTATTGGGTGGCTTCCCCACACCTGAGGCCGCTCTATGGAGGTTACCTTTTCATCCCCCCACGCCCAGTGGGAAGTGAAGATTTGTTTTGTCATCTCATGGGTAAGGAAGCTGAGTCCCTCAAAGGGGCTGTGCTTTGTCCGTGGAGAAGAGTCTTTTCCTCCCAGGAAGCCTTCAGCTGGTGGAAACTCGGCCGTGAATGGGCTGTTGCATGAGCAGGAGGGTGGGTGTGCGGCAAAGTCAGCGTGGCCCCCGCAGAGCCTGCATCCGCTGACAGGCAACCAAGAAGGCCTGCAGTCATACCTCTGATGGTAAAGCTGTCGCAACAGGTTCAGAGAGGCGTGTCAGTTTTCCCAGAGACACACAGCTCTCTGGAGGAGTGCAGGCCTCTTAGCTCCATCGCCTGGTGCTATGCATTCCTTGCCCAATGGGCGCGAGGGAGCAGAGTTCCCCAGGGGTTTGATCTGAGGGGTGGTTTGTGAGGGGGACTGTGCCACCCATTGTGGAGCGCGCTTAGCTGCCTCTCTGTAACACATCTTTGCCCGATGTGAATTCTCTCCCTTGATCGGGGCCAGCACAGTGCCTAGTAGGGCAGTTAAGAGCCCTGGGTTTGGGCTGAGCCCGGTAGCTCATACCTGTAATCCCAGCACACTGGGAGGCCAAGGCAGTAAGGTTGCGTGAACCCAGAAGTTTGAGGCCAACCTGAGCAACAAAGGTAAATACACACACACACAATACAAAAATTAGCCTGGCATGGTGGCACACGCCTGTAGTCCCAGCTACTTGGGTGGCTGAGGCAGGAGGATAACTTGAGCCTGGGAGGTCGAGGCTGCAGTGAGCCATGATCACGCCACTGCACTCCAGCCGGGGCAACAGAGCAAGACCCTGTCTCAAAAAAAGCAAAGCAAAGCTTTGGGGCGGAAGTTGGGGTGCTCGGACTTTAAATCCCAGGCCCCCCACTTTGGTGTGATTGCGGGCATGCTCCTGACCTCTCTGCGCCTGACTTCCCCCAGCTGCAAAGGGGGCTGATAATGCTGCCCAGACCCCAGAGGCCCCCTAGGAGGCTCCTGCTGGGCAGCTGGTCCTGCCCCAGAGCCCTCCCACTCCACGCACCCCCACTTACACTCAAGGGCAGACGGGCCCCCCCCCAACCAAGCCAGGCCTGGTGGCCCTAGGACACTCTTGGCCACAAGAATTCAGATTATTTTCTCAGCAAATTTCTGACCCCTGTCCTGGGGCCTTGGCAGGGGCAGGGCTGCATGGTCCTGGGGATCTGACTAAAACCTCAGCCCCCCACGGGTCTGGGAACACAGGCAGGTTCTCTGCCAACCAGGAGCGGCTCCTGCTTGCCTGGACCCCACGGGGCAGAAAGAGTGGGCGTTCATATCATTCCCATTTTGCAGCCAGGCAGACTGAGACCCAGAGAGGCCAGATAACTTGCCTCAGGCCACACAGTTGGCAAAGGATAGGGCCAAACCTTGGTGATGGCCAGACTCTAAATCCAGGGCTCCACCAGGCCACCTCTTGCCTTAGGAATATAGCCTTCCCTGGCACTTCCTTAGCCAAGAATCTTTCTAGAAGGGTGGCAGGCCTTCCTGCCCCATAACCGGAAAAGGCCAGCTGCTCTCCGGGCCAGAAGAGCCAGGGAACAGCTCTTTGGAGGAGGGGGCTTGTGAGAGTGCGGCGGGCAGCACTGCAGCTTGCACGTGGTAGGGGTGTGGGGTCAAGGTGTGCAGGGCAAGGACAAGTCAGTCCCCGCCAGAAGTGCGCCGCTGAGGGGCCTACGTGTGTCCCTTTCAGCAGCACTGGCATGGCACATTCTGACCTGAGCAATGGTGAGCTGCCCGGAATAAGAACCGGAGGAAGAGAACCTTCCCCGGGTGGCATGTGAGGCTGGGGTGGCACTCGACACAGGACAGTGGGCAAGGACATGCCCCCCTCCAGGCCAAGGGTCTCAGGAGCCTTCCCTCCTGCTCCTGCTGTGGTCTCCCCCTCAGGCCTGGCATGGGAGGAGTTAAGCTGCCTCGGGCACCTTGGCACATAGCGCTGCCCAGAGTGTCCAGCTCCCCACCCCCACTGCTTTTCTTCCTTTTTGCCTTTTTCCTTCTTAATTAATCATATGCTGCTGTCCAATTTAAATATGGAAATGCCCAGGCCGAGGCGGTGCAATTATTCATGAGGGCCGGGTGGCGGTCCGGGGCTCTCGGGCTGTGGGGAGTACCGTGGCATCGCCTCCGTTCTGATGTGTGTGAAATTATGTGCACAAAAGGCGCCTCCTTATCTGGGTGTGTGAACTAAATAAATAAATAAGGGCTTTTGTTTGTTTGTCGGCTCCTGCACATGGCTGCTGGGACTCAAGCGCTCGTGTTGTCTGCGCCTCTGTGGGACTCGGGAGTCGGGAGGCAGGGGAGGCCCCCGCAGGCTGGCCAGGGGCTGGGGGCTGGGGGCCGGCCGCCGGGCACCTGGGGCCCTCTCCCTCCCCTGGCACCACCCTCACCCTGCAGCCCCCCCGCCATACACACCCTCATTGGAAAGTTTGCCCTGCCCGGGCTGGGCTCCCAGGCAGTCTGGCACCGTGCCAGGCTCGCCGCTGAGCTCGGGCAGCAGGGTGGGACGAACGCAGAGCACGGAGGACGGGGCCTGGCGACCTGGGCACCAGCAGAACCCGAGGCCAGGGGCCGGGGGCCCAGAAGGTGAGGGCACCTTGGGTGGGCACAGGGTGGGCGCTTGGTGGGCAACAGGCCATGCGGCCAGGCCCAGGAGCAGGCCTCATGGGTGGGGGGGGGAGCGGAGGCTGGCAGAGGAGGCAGGCACAAAGGAGGGCAGTGCCAGGCAGCTGTGGCCGACACGGGCATCGCTGCCCGCCTGCCCCTGGCCGGCCTCCCCGCCGACTGGGGCCGGCTGGGGCTCCGAGGGGAGGATGCGTGTGCAGGGGCCCGGGCAGGAGCGGCAGACGCCAAGCCTGAGCCGCGGCCACAGGGCTCGGAGGAAGGGCCGGAGCAAGGCGGGGCCGGGGCTGTCAAGGAGAAAAACATCCCAAGGCCTGCAAATTGCTGCTCTCAGCTTCCCCCCCTTCCCCCCCCACCCCGCCCTGCTTCAGGGGGAAAAAAAAAAGCAGCGCTTCCTCTGGAGGCGGATGCAAAAAGGATGCAGAATTTTAACCATCTCCTGCACGGACCCATCCTTCCTGAGCAGGGTTTGGGCCTAGGCCTGGCGCCTTGGCACCCTGAGAAGGGAAAGGCCAGAGCAGCTGATGCTGGTTCTGGGGGACCCGGAAAGCCCAGCCTCCTCGGCGCCTCCATCCAGAACCTGGGGCCCCTTGGTGCCTGCACCGGGGTGGAGGATGGGAGGCAGTGGGGGCCTGGTGCCCTCGGAGGCTGCACCTCACGGTACCAGTCACTGCCCAGTCTGCTGGCCTTCTCTTGGTGTTAAACATGGTGTCCAGGCCCCCGGTTGGAGACCCCAGCCCTGCACTGTGCGGGGCCTTCGTTCCCGCTGACCTGGGGCCTTCAGCCACACTGGCATCCCAGGCCTTACTTCTGATTTCTGCTTTAAAAATAAGGTGGGAGTCGAGGGCTTCACACACTGTAGATTCAGGGCAGGACTTAAGGAATGAGCTCAGAAGGTGACTGATCACTGAGCAAACGGCAGGCAAGCCCAAGTGCCCCTCACTGGGCGAGACTCAGGGGCATGGGTTCAGGCATGGGAGCTCAGAGGATGGTCTGGGCCGGCGCGCCAACAAGGCACAGAGCCCAGGACTCATGACATGATTTGTTTTAATTTCTTTTAAAATCAGAAGAAAAAATGACTATAAAAATAATGAATAGATGATAATGAATTCAACCTGGTTATATTGGTCTTTGATGCAGTCGTAAAATATGATTTTTAGTATTTATGGAGAAAGGGGCCCAGGAAGCCAAAAGTGCCCCAGCCCAGGAAAGGCAGGAGTGTCCTGGGTTGGTCCTGTCTGTCCCAGGACAAAGGGTCAGACATCTGGCTCCTGGGGAGGTTGGCGCACCTGGGTGCCCTGTGAATCTGGCTTCCACAAAGGCTAGCCGGGACAGGTTGCTCCAGCCTGCGCTCGACGGGAGCCAGGGCTGTGTGTGTGTCCATGCGTGTCCGTGTAGGTGCATGTGGGTGTGCAGGTGTCCTCGCGTGCACACGAGTGTTTGACAAAGGGCTCCCAGACACCAGCATGTGTAAGTCCCAATTCTCAAAACAGGGGGCTGCAAGGCCAGGGTCAGGAGACAGTGTGGCTGTGAGGGCCTGGTATTCCTGACAATGATGGGTGGGGAGTGCCATTATCTCGTTAGGAGAAAGCAGCCTTCAAGGTCCCTGTACCCCCAAACCCACGAGCTCACCCAAAACAACGTGAGCCACAGATGCGAGCCACGTCTGTGGTTTAGCATCTTCTAATAGCCACATTTTCGGAAAGTGAAAATAAGCAGGTGAGATTCGCTTTAGTACCAAAATTCATTGTGATCTAAGATACATTTCCCAAATCATATTTCAATGTGTTGCTTAGATGAAACTATGAACGAGGTATTCTGCCATTTTTTCCACATTCGATTCGGCCTCTCCCCATGTCAAGGGCTCAGTTGTTGCATGTGGAGGAGGGGCTACCTGGGTGGGCATGCAGGTTTACCAGGTCCCTGTGCCCCCCACTTCCCCACCCAGAGTAGTGGAGACTGGTTTTCTGCTTCTTTTTTGCTGGTGGCCCTTCCTGGCCAGGGAGAGGGATGCGTCCACTGGTTCATCGGCCCCCAGCAACCCTGAGAGCTGAAAGAATGTGTGTTGGGGCTGCAGGTTCCAGAATGAGGGGGGCTGCTGGAAAGGCTTCTTCGGCTGTGCTCCCAGACACCAGGGCACGACACAAAGGGCTGACTTCAGACTCACAATAGTGGGGCGGTTAGTCACAGTGCCAGGGCAGCGGGCAGGCAGACAGAGCCCCCTGTGTCTGTGCCTGGTCGGGCTGGGCCCTGCAGCCCCCATTTCCCCAGCTGGCTTCCCACCCCACCCCTGCCCGCTCCCCACATTAACCCCCTGCCGCCTGCTGCCTACCTGGCAGCCTGGCCGGGGCTCCCTTGGCCAGGCTCTGGTTTCCACCAGCCACCCTGGCCAGAGGCGCACTCCTTCTAGAAGCTGGGCTCAGGCCTGCATGATTTCACAGGCCGTCTCGGGAAGCAGGCATTGGAACAGTTCCGTCACTGTGGCCAGGCAGCGTCCATGCAGCCTGAGAGGAGATTTTCAGATTAGTGAGAGAACCCAGTGTTCAGGGCTCCCCACTTAAAGATTTCATCAGCGTTTGCAAGCATTCGCCATTCAAGGACTGTGCATTTCTGGAAACAATGCAAAGCCAAAACTGTGAAAAATTAAGGAGTGGCCCTGGAGCTGGTGTCTGGAGCTGCACATTTTAAAGTGAACAGACTGATATAAATATTTTAATCCTGTGCACAGATAGATGGATAAGATAAAATAAATTAGTCATGTTCTGGCACAGTCTGGAGACTCTCTGAAAGCAAGACTCATGTCAGCATTTGCTGTTTAGAGGTTACAATTAAAATCTCTCCTTCTAGATGGAGATTCTAGAGCCTTGGAGACGGAATTCGATGTTTTGCTGTGATTTGGCATTAAATTACTGACCCATGGGGAGGAGGGTAACTTTCCCTTAAAAGGTATAAAATGAAGTTCTCAGTCCCACTTTTTAATTAAAAAAAAAAAATCTCTGCAAAGATTGTGCCTTCTGGCTTTTCTTTGCTAAATGAAAGTGGCATGTGTTTTTATTTTAGAAGGCAGAGATGTTTTGCTGTGCCCAGTGTGAGGAAGGGAAGGAAAAGAAAGGTCTTTTGAAAATGTGCACGTCGACCTACAGCTTAAAAATCCCAAGTGCCAGACATTTTTCTCAGAGGAAATAAACGTCTTCAACGTATTAATCTTACCTGTTGATTATATTCTGTAATGATTTATTCTAGAATTTAATCCTTGCCTAGAACTGAGGCTGTCTTTGGAAAGCGGAAGACCTAGTTCTCTTTGTCCCGGCGACATTGTGCCTCTCTGTTAAAATCACTGACCATGGGGATCTGGACCCAGGCAGCTGTGCTAGGCAGCTCGGCCCGCTCGGCCTTCAAAAAACAAGGGATGGGAGACATATGCTTGGCTCACATCATTTTGTTCTGATTTATTTTAAACTGCTTAAGATGATTTTAGCACAAAGAGTGGTGTATCTTCCTTGCATTCTGAGAGCCACTGGATTTTCAAGCTAGAGTACAATTTTTTTTTATCCAAATTTAGAAATTGCCTTACAGAGAAGACAACAGTATGCTAGTTTGCCTTTTAACTCACTTTTAAAGAAAGATACTTAAGATCAAGTACATTGAATTTGGAGATTGGTTCCCCCTCCGTTATTAGGGGCTGGAAATGGCCCATTTTTCAAAACTAAGGTCGGAAAAGGGGTATCTCTGGCAAAGGAGTTCTTCCAGGCTGGGCTTGTACCACAGAGATTCTTCCACACACGTGTCTCGAGTCCTTGTCCTATACACAGGTTTTACTCCCAGGGAGGAGTGTGGCATTCAGTCCCAATGTCACCGTGTGGAAAACAGTCCCTGCCTGGCTAAGTAACTGTCACAGGCAGTAGGGCCACTTCCCAGCATGACCCACAAGCTAGATGGTGCCCCTCGAGTGGTTAAGAGATCCGTGCAAATATTATTCTTTTAAAGAAGCCAACGCAATCTTCACAAATTGCAGTCTCAGCCTGGCTGCTGGTTCTACCTCTAATAATGGAAAAAAATTTAAGATTGGGGACAACAGGAAACGCGTTGGATCCCCAGGGGAAGCAGCCTGGAAGCTACAGCAGGGGGTGGGGGACCCCAGGGCTCTGTTCAAGTCCCGGGGCTGTTCCCTTTATTCCTCCGAGCCTCAGCTCCCCGGATTTAAAATGAGAACAGCACCCAGCCCAGCCCACTGCCAAGGGCTGTTGCGGGAATCTGACAACAGCCACCAATATTTGCATAGCCGAGCTGCCCAGTTTCATTTTCTGTTTGAAAGTTTCTCTGAAGGGTGACGTGCTGGAGACACGAGAACAACTGCTATCATCTTAATAACTTTTCTGGCAAAACACGACCATGATTGTTTATGTTAATCTCGCAACTGTTGACAATAATTCATTTCATTCTCATCATGAATTTTATCTATTTGACTTATAATAAATATGATCATATCAGTCATATAGTCCTTTTTCTGATCATGAAAGCAACATATGCTCACTATAGAAAATTTGGAAAATATAGAAAAATGCACATAAGGGAAAAATTATTCATCCTTTCTCCCACGCAGAGGCAAGCTCTGGTCACATTTCCCTGTGTTTCCTTCCAGGCTCTGCTCTCTGCCGAGTGGCTTTCATCAATTCTCATAGCTTCTATTTTCAGATAACTCCATGGGTTTTTATGATTGGTCCTCCTTGTCACCTTGGCCCTTCTGGTCCTCAGTGGCTGTTCCTTCTCTCTGGCTGTCTCCTTCAGGGGGGCCCAGCTCCGGGTCTGGGTGCTCAGGGAGAAGACCTCAGGCTCCCCAGCACCCAGGCTCCTTGTCCTGCCACGCTGGGAGCCCTGTTGGGGCAGCCCAGACACACGGCCAGCACAGCCCCATGGCAAAGCCAGGCCGGCAGGCGGGCTCAGGACGTCAGGGCACGGGAATGAGTGGCATGAAACCCAGTCTCTCGCAGGGCCTGGGCCGTGGAGGTGAGCACGCTAGGCCTTCCCATGCCGGAGCGGGCTGGGAGGTGGGAAGACACAGGCAGGCCGTCCCTGACAGAAAATCCAGGGACACTGCAACATGGATCGGGGGAAGGCATGAAAAGCAGCCTCAATGCTTGAATTCTCAGCAAAGAACGATGCTCGGAGCCGGGCGTGGTGGTTTACTCCTGTAATCCCAGCACTTCGAGAGGCCAAGGCGGCTGGATCGCCGGAGGTCAGGGGTTCCAGACTAGCCTGACCAATATGGTGAAGCCCTGTCTTTACTAAAAACACAAAAATGGGCCAGGCGTGGTGGCGTGTGCCTACAGTCTCAGTTACTCAGAAAGCTGAGGCAGGAGATTGCTTGAACCTGGGAAGTGGAGGTTGCAGTGAGCCGAGATTGCACCACGGCACTTAGCCTGAGCGACAGAGCAACACTCCATCTCAAAGAAAGAAAGAAAGATGCTTGGGCCAAATCAAACAAACCACTTCTTAGACGTGCAAAGTTTCATTGGAACTGTTCGGATAACGTTTCCAAGGTGTCAGCGCTATGGCCCTGGCTTGCACCCGCCGCGTGGTTGCGCAGTAGGGCCAAATGGCTTGGTAGGCAGAAATCCACCAGAGCTTCAACGCGAGGGCACAATCCCCCAATACCATGTCACAATCATGCATATGCCTTGGCTGGTCCCACGAGTCCATCAGGAAAACGTTCCACAGAACTAGGCCTCTGGAGAGGAACCACACAGACCTCCCTATTGCCTTCTGAGTAACTGATCCAAAGGCATTTTTAGAATAGCCGGTACATTCGTGATAGGGGAAATGGAGACTATGAGGTCCGCCTTAACCCCTTTAGAATAATGCAGTGGCCTCAATGTCTTAGCAACAGATCATTCAAGATTTATTAAAAACTTAAGTTGCAGACAAACTTCACAGGCGAGATTATAGTTTGCAGTATTAACAGTATAGAAATGTTAGCAAGACATGACATAGGGAATCATAGAGGACATGACAGTAAATTATCCCACAGCTAAATGATGGAACACTGTGTCACCCTTAAAACAGTGTTGCCACTTTGGTTGACCAAAGCAGGTGGATCACCTGAGGTCAGGAGTTCGAGACTAGCCTGGCCAACATGGTGAAACCCTGCCTCTACTAAAAACACAAAAATTAGCTGAATGTGGTTGTTTGTTCCTGTAATCCCAGCTAGTCCGGAGGCTGAGGCAGGAGAGTCACTTTAACTCTGGAGGTGGAGGTTGTAGTGAGCAGAGATCGTACCATCGCACTCCAGCCTGGGTGACAAGAGCAAAACTCCATCTAAAAATAAATAAATAAATAAATAAAAATAAAAATATGATGTTGGCAAAGAGTTTGGAATGGCATGGGTGTGTATGGGATACAACACTTTCCTACAGTACATACATATGTGAAGCATGCCCGTGTCTGCATATGTGCACTGAACAATAGCTGGGAGGGAAATACAACAGGATGTTATTTCTGGACAATGGCATGTAGGTGAATTTTCCTTTTTTTGTGTATTTTATACTTAACACATTTTTTATTTACTACTTAAATAATCTGTGTCTTATCTACCTGTGTATTTTATTCCTAAATTGCATATACTTTATGCTTCCCTGTGCCTTCCTTAAACACATGGTATTTTTATAATCAGGGAAAAACCGTATTTGAAGCCTCGTTGTAGAAATATAGACAAATAGAGACAAATGGCACGTTTTCTTTCAGTCACTGGGGACGAATGACACATACAGCAGAAGTATTCGTCGGGCCAACAAATAGGAATAGTAAGTGAACATATTCCTTCTTTCATAAAAGAGTTGTGTGTTGGTAGCTTATTAATCAAACACTACCTGAGTGTTCTAACCGAGCACATATTCTTGTAGAGCAAGGCAGAAAAATCTCAATGATGATTTTATGTGGACTCGGCAAGTGTTTTTGTTCCCTAACAATAGCATTAAGAAGCGGGAAAAGGACGGTCTTCTTCTCGGATCTTTGGTTGGATGACAACCCTCCCATGGTGAGCCATGCTGCCTGATTTTCAGTTTGGGCTTTCTGCTTCCCCCGTTTGGGTTTTAAAGACAATTTCAAAGATTCTGCAAGTTGATTACTGAAGAAGTCCATAGATCCTGGATTCATAGTGTCAGATAATACATTGTGATCTTTGAGTGGGAATCCTAGTAGTTTACTTAGACTCATCAGTTGCCTGATTAAAAAAAAAAAGAAAAAAAAAGAAAAAGAAAAGAAAAAACGAAAGAAAACAATTATTTTCTTAAGCTTGTATTGCTCTTAAAATAGTTCTCTGCGCCCTTAAGTCACCTGCCTATTCGCGACAGGAGCGCACCGCTTGCCTTAAGAGACAAGAATTTTCTTTCTTAACCATAATGTGCCAGGATTTTTGTTATATGGAAAAATCTGTCCATGTTTCCAACTAATACTTCTTAGCCTTCAGGCAAGTGCGACTTGCTTCCCTGTAAAATGGATTCCCAGGACCTGCGGTATCGGGATGGGCAGAATTCCTTAAAATGCAGGGCCCGGGGCAACCCCACCGTGTCCCGTTGGCTCTGGGCGGTCCCCGGGGCTGCCCGCCGGCTGCAGAGCCCCCTCTCCCCGGGCCCGGCCCGCCGGAGCCTCAGTTTCCCTGGCAGAGAGGGGCGGAGACGAGGCAGGGGGTGGCGGGGACGGGCCGGCTCGGCCAGGCGCGCCCGGCTGGGAGGTCCCGCGGGCCCTGGAGCCGCCCGCAGCCCGCCCGGGCCTCCGGGGCGCGACCCCCTAATCCGCTTTAGTCAATATATTGTGAGCTCCGCTTGGGCAAAGTAAACAGGCGCCGAACAAAGCGGCGGTCGCCGCCCGCGACTCCTGACCCCGGGGTCGCGCCCTTTGTTCGCCCTCAATGGGGCAGCCCCGCCGCCCGGCCCGCGGCTAATTGGGGCGCGTGCCGCCGCCTCTGCTGCGACCGCACTGCGGACTCCGGCTGGGACGCGCCCTCGGACTCAGGCCCCGCACCCGCCCGCCAACTACGACCCGACCCCGGCTGGAACCCTCGTCCCCGCCCAGGCGGACCAGGTGCCCCGCTCGGACTTGCACTCGGACCCGGCCCCAGACTCCGACTTTGGGCCTCGGTTCGAACCCCGGGGGCCCGCCCCACCCCGCCCCGCCCCGCTGCAAACCGGACTCCCTGCCCGCTGGGGACCCCGAGTCCCAGGCCTGGTGCCGGACTGGGCCCTGCCTCACGCGCGAACCCTGGGGCTGCCTGGAGGAGGCGCATCGAGGCCTCCCGGCATAGAGAGCCGCGGCGGCCCCGGGCCCTGTGCCCCTCCAGGCCCGGCGCTATCTGGCTGAGACTGGCCCGTGCCTCCCTCCCGCCCCGGGGCCGGGTGTGCTCCTGGTCCGCGCAAGGTCCCCAGGCACTCTCGCGGCCACGTGGGTGCCTGTCGCCTGGGGCGGGCTGGGGGAGGCCACGGCGACACTATTCCCGGGGTCCCAGGGCCGGCAAACCGCCTCTGCAGGCCCCTTAAGACCTCGGACGGCCGGGATGCAGAGGAGGAGACGTTTATTAGTCCTGGTTTTTCTTTTTCTGCCCTTTATTTCTGCTTGGAAGCCTGTCACATGGGAAAGAAAAGACGCTGGATCTATGCGAACCCCACACCCCCTGGTGAGGGAGGACGGAACCGTCGGACCCTCTGCACGTGGGCTCCCTTCCCACAACCTTCGTTTCCTCCAAATCACCACCTTTCCAGCACCTGGGAACGGCTCTAGGCCAGAGGAGGATGCTGAGGCCGTGAATGCATCCGTTCACACGAAACTCAGGCCTTCACCGTTTCGCATCTTTCCGTTTTGTTTTTCCTCAAATGTTGGACAAGGTTCTTATTTTTATCTCAAGAAGCTTTTGAGACTTAGCTCCTTGTAATTTTTGTAAGGATTCTGTCTGATTTTTTAAAAGGTACTTTCTTTTGTACTTAGGTGCAAAAAGGAAAGAAGAAAAACGGCTGTCTTGAGAGCCTTTGCCTCTGAAGATGAGCCGATTGGCCTCTCGTTCCCGGCCTGGCCGGGCAGGGCCCTCTGCCTGATTCTCAATTATTTCGGTTTTGTTCCCCAGCTGCAAATATTGCTACGCTTTGCACAGGAAGCTTTTTTATTTTTTTATGTTGAGTTTGTTTTGGAGCTTCTCGATTGCAGGGTGGACTGTTCTAACGTGGAATGTGGCTTTGGGAAGACATGTTGTTCAGAAGTTGTCCTATATGCCTTGCTGTTTGTTGTGAGAATGGAGCTGGGTAGGGGTCCTGCCGTGGGCCATGAATAGGGGGAGGCAGGTGTGGTAGTCACCTTCTGGGTGTGTGGGGCAGAGCTCCATCTGGGAACCAAGGCCCCTGGAAGACATGCCTTACGATTCTTGCCTTTCACAGAACAACTGCCAGATAGCAGCCCGGTGTCTCTTTACCTGCCTTCCTCACTTCTGGGCATTCCTCCCGAGGCCGC